GCCCTGCCCACCTCCACTAATGGCTTCTATGGAACATTCAGAATTTCATTCTTGTTTAATTATTCGTTTGTGTACATGAATGGGGAAGGGCGGTAATATTCAGCGGGGCACACTTTAGCTTTAATACTACTTAGAATTCAAAACTGATCCATGTATTTATTCTCAGCTGGCAAAAGAAATACATACGGTATTTGCAAGGCCTTCCAGAAAATACAGCTTGTCTGATTCTTATCTTCCATAGAACCCCAGAGATAATACAATAACTAGGGTGGGACAACAGGTGGACCTCCCTGACCTAGTCACAGCCATGGGCGACAAAGGTGGTGAAAGTGTAAGACATGAATAACAGCACATCTTATGGACTGATTTCACTATTAATTAGTGAATATCCTTGCAAAATGACTTAACAGATTTTTGGAAGAATATATCGATTCAGATTAAGCAGGTTTCTTAAAAGAGAGAAAATTATCCTGGAATACAAAATGGTTAATCAACCAATTGGAACTGGTTAATGAAAATAAAAGGCCTATAGTTGTTTATTTTGTGGCTCATGGAACACATCTGATTGAATTAGCTGCCTTTTTCTGGATTAGGTATCAATGACATTTGGGTTTGGAAGAAGGTTCCAGGAATGGGTGAAAATTTGCTATACTGCCTCTAAAGCCAGAATTTTGGTTAATGGGTTTCAATTGTTACCATTTAATCTGGAGCAAGGGCACACTCTCATGCTCTTACTCTTCAGCCTATGTACTGAGTTCTAGCCAGGAAGAGCAGAAAGAAAGAACAAATTATAGGAATCACACATTATGAGGGACAAACAAAAATAATGCTCTATACAGATGATGTAGTTTTTGGAGATAACTAGAATTATATAACAGTTTGGCCAAGTCTGTGAATATAAGGTTAATATCATTGACTGCCCATCATTGACTGCCCAGAGGGAGAGGACCCCTTAATTCCCTATGACAACATCATTCAAAGATTAAAAGTCCCCAATACTGCAAAACACGGAATCACAAATTAAGAAATCTAGACGTTCCTCTAGGAAATGGTTTGACAAGGACTGTCAAGACGCCAAAAGAATCTGTATCTCTGCATTCCATGCCTACAAATCTGCATCCAACTTAGAAAACTCAGCTCTTTATCAAACCTATTTAAATGCAAAGAAATCCTACAAACTAACTGTGGCTAAAAAGAGAAAAGCAGGTAAAATTGAAACATGGGGAAAACTGATCCAGGCGGCTAAAGAGAAAAACTCCATTTTTTGGGGGGGGAAATTGGCTTCCAAGCACTCTTTCAAGGACTCCTCTCCTTTAGACTCAGTAATCATGGCCGATGTTTGGGAATCTTACTTCCGACAGATGTTTGCAGTGAGTTCATGTGACCTACACCTACAAATAACATCAGATTTACCAGACTGGCCACCAGTTTCAACAAAAGAAGTCACAGCACTTATAAAGCAATTAAAGAAAGGAAAAGCCCCTGGTATTGACAATATACCCTCAGATTTCCTAATGAACAACATCGAGTGGTGGGCAGCACCTCTAGCCTCACTTTTCTCATACATTGACTCAACAGGACGTATTCCGTCTAGTAGGTCAGCCTCGATATATGTTGCTTTCCTTGACGAGATCTGCTTTCGATACCATATCTAGGGGCTTGTTGTGGGAAAAACTGAAAGCTATGAACATATGAATCACAACGGGG